TAATAAATAATACAAAATATTTAATATCTAAAATATACTCAGGTGTTCTAGTTGAATATTTTCGACAAATATTAAAGTTTCCACTTCACTTGTTTCACTTGACTAGAAACTGCTTTTTAAGCAACTATTTCTGACTGTCATTCCCTCAACTGGGTATACACGGTTATATATAGGGAATGCGTTTCTCATGCCCAGCGTCAAGCTGCTCAATTTGCGTTGACTGACTGTAATATTATCTTGTTTGCTCATGACACGCGCCGCCACCCACGACAGGGCAACTCGGACTCAGACTCAGACGGCGACTTGGACTGCGGATTGGCGTTGGAGCATGTTTGAAGCGAGAGTTTGGCATTGTCCAGCTTTTGGCATTTCACTCATTTCGCGGCTGCGGCTTTTGTCATTTTTCTTCGCGCTTTTCCAATTCCATTTTCATTTTCTTGCTTTTTTCCCCCCGGCTCCACTCTTCTTTCCGTTCCATAAGTCATTTGTGATTTAAGTCTTTGGCTTGTCAAAACAAATGAAATGGAGCGTTGAAATAACTGACAGCACGCAATGCCCATTGGGGGCATTCAGCTACAACTATAATAGATGAGGAGAATGGGGGAAACGATGTGAGGGAGAGAGAGAAGCAGAAGCTGAGATAGCTAAAACTGCCGGCAGGCATTGCGATATTCTTGGCATTGCATTTGCAATTGGGGTAATTGCATTTTATTAGCGCTTATCACTCTTATCGCCAACTGCCATTGTCATTGTCATTGCGCATTGTCATGTTGTAGTCGAAATTTAATTAATTTCTATTCACTGTAAACTGTCTTTACTTCTATGTACCTCTCTCTCTCTCTTTCACTCTGTCTCTATGTAGCTTGTCATATTGTGCAACATATGTAAGCGGCTGCTTAATAAAGCCTCAAACATTTTACAAGAATCCAGAACAAAGCAGCCAAACAATAGGGCTACTCCCACACTCATATATTCACATTGAATGGGAAGAGAGTGGGACTTCCTCTATTCTTATTGGACTCAGGTGTGGGCAGTGCTCAAGTCCAAGTACCTGGCCATAAAGCAGCTACAAATTACACAGCTTAGAATATGCCAAATGGCACAAACAAACGCAAAAAAAAGTAAGAAAAATCTGGGAAAATAAAAGCGCAAGATAAATGTGCTGGTTGAGCTCACAAAATGCTGCCAACTAATTGAATAAGTTGGCTTTTGAAACGCTTTTCATTTAAATATAAGAGAAAATTCGTGCTAAATATCAGTTACAGTTGAGTATATGCATATATTTCATTTAAATGTAATATATGTATATTTTTTTAATATTTGATTTGTTTATTATACGCATTGAATCTATGTGGAAATGGTATTTTTTTAATATTTTTAATTGGATTATTTAATTGGTTTTTCATTAAATAGGATTGTGAGAAAGCTTTTGAACTTCTTAAAGAATAAAAAAAAAAAAACATTTTCATATTGGCATTTATTAAAATTTAATAGAGAATGAGAAAACTTTAAAATTGCTTAAAGAAAGGAATTTATTGGAATTAAATAGAATTTAATTTGAAAAGAACTTGAATTAAAATTATTTATTTTTACCATAGAAAGTTACAAAGAAAAAAATAAATAAATACATAAAATATAATAATAAATACAAACATCAAAAATATTTATTTATTTTTGTTTAATTACATAATAAATAATTACATAAAATTATACAAAAATATTAAATGTAATAATACCTTGCTACTAATTGTAATAATATACCTATTAACATAGACTTCCAGCTCGGAAAAAAATGTATTTTCTTTTTAATCATGTTTATTATTATATTTTTAACGCCTTTGAAAAATTCGCCGTCTGGACAAGCCCCGAATGAATCTAAAATTGCATAGAAAAATCGTATCGTATCATTATGAAAATCTATTAAAACTCTTATTGGTAATAAATATAAAAAATATTCAGTCAATCAAAGTAAAAACTTTAATTTGCAGATGTTTTTAACAGCTCGACAATTGTGCAAAACTCATGGAAAAAAGACTTAAGCTTGAAGCTTAGATTGCGATTAAACTTTTGCTGATAATCTTCGTTCCACTTTGATGTTCAGCCATATCATTTGGGTAGCTGATCTGTGAGGCGTTGCCTGGCTGTAGCCAGTGTTGGGCAATACTTACGATAACTGCAATTTGCACTTAACCCTTGCTGGCTAAAACTGCTTGTGGCTGCTATCTCTAGTTGGGCATGGAGCGACCCACACCAGGACAATTAAAGCGGAGCACACACACACAGAGAGAGAGAGAGAGAGAGAGAGAGAGAGAGAGAGAGAGAGAGAGAGACACTTAGCCTAGTAACCACTCAAACCACTCGAAAAGTTGTCCGCAAAGTGCGAATGCATAATTAATTCCAATTATGAGTTTACCCAACAACATTGGCAACATTGGCACTTGTCTTCGCACTGAACTCGAGACGATGCAAGATGCGGCAAACACATGTATGTACGATGGCTTGTGTGTGTGTGTGTGTGTGTGTTTGTAGGGGCTAGAGAGTAAAGACTTATCAGCGCATCGACAGCAGCATCAAGCCCTGAACTTTGGTGATGCTGTCAACCCTGTTGCTGCCGCATACACACACACACACACACACACATGCTTGTTGCATAGTTTGAGTGAGGCAAGTGCTTGGCATGTTTAAACACATGCTTAAGTGTCATTTAGACAGTTATCCGCCTGGCAGCCGTAGCCAGTTGCTGCTCTGCAGCCTCAAGGTTTTGGGCCAGACAATTGATGGCTGTTTGATATAGCCGGCAAGCAGATTCTTTTTACCGTCCTTTTTTCTCTTGTTGCTGTAATTACAAAAAATGCTAAAAAATTGCAATATCAATAACATTTAATGTGCCCCTCTTTATGGAGGTTTATTCTTCCTCTCCTTATTTTTCGGGTATGGGTGGAAAGTGCTGTTGTGTCTGAGTGTTGGCAGCCTTCAAAGCAGCAGCAGCTACAGCAAGAGCAGCAACAGCAGCAACAGCAGCCTTTACTTTAAACGGAAATGCATTTCGTTGTTGTTCTTTTTGGAGAGCATTTGCAGTCGCGTTCGCGTCGCGTCTGCCAGCATATCTCAAGTGTTTTAATGGATTTTTAGCCACATGCATAGAAGCTGTTCATTTAGCCAGGCAACCCTCTTTGCTACTGGCTGCTACCCTCTATCAAAATGCCACGCCTTGAACTTTAGCCCACAATTCGATTTGAAGAAATGTCAAATTTGCCTTTGTCTCTGGGCTCGCCGCTCTGATATCTACACATGCAACGCATCAATCATGCGTAAGACACCCGACACAGCCCGACAATCGCGTATATAGCCTTAAGCCAGGGAAATATAAGAAGAAGAAGATGCAAAACCTYGGCCAATCCGAAACGAAGTTCAGTTCATAAAATGATAATAAGCCTTAAGCTTACCCGCATGCCACTCAAACTTAAGGCCACAACAGCTGATGCCCAGCCAGAGACTAGAGTAGAGGTAGCTCTACCAGCACCATCAGCAACAATCGCAGCAGCAGCCGCAGCAGCCGCAGCAATCGCTGTGGGAGTCCAACAAAAGCCTATAAATTTTTAGATTATTTGCATATTGTGTCGAGCACTTGGTGCGACTCATTTAAAATGCGCTGTCTTTGGCTGTTTGAAGGAGTATATTAGTTACGCCGGTTGCCTTTG